TGCAATCATTACTAAACCCTGCCTTTGAAGTTCTCTGTTAGGAAACTGCTTTTCCTCTACCTTCCACATTATCTGAAGTAGGGCCAAACTCAAACACTTAACACATACGGTTGGCTACACACAGGAATAACCCCATTATTATTTTTAAATTGCCTCGGCAAGTTAGTATGTTGGTTACATGTCACTGTGTGAGCTAATCTGTGCTGGGCGTTCAGACTCCGCAAAATGTGTATGATTTTTTCACATTACGGCACAGTTGTTTGGCTTGTCTTTAATGTCTTACAGATCAGCTATTGAAGTGTTCAGCTTTGGTATGTTTGTAGTTTCACCCAGGGTTCTAGGAAAGGGTTGGGTGATATATGAGTCATCAGTGTGCCCTTGTTGCCAAGAAGGCTAACGGCATATTGGGCTGCATTAGTAGGAGCATTGCCAGCAGATCGACGGAAGTGATTATTCCCCTCTATTAGGTGCTGGTGAGGCCACATCTGGAGTACTGCACCCAGTTTTGGGCCCCCCACTACAGAATGGATGTGGACAAATTGGAGAGAGTCCAGCAGAGGGCAACAAAAATGATCAGGGGGCTGGGGCACATGACTTATGAGGAGAGGCTGAGGGAACTTGACTTGTTTAGTCTGCACAAGAGAAGAATCAGGCGGGATTTGATAGCAGCCTTCAACTACCTGAAGGAGGGTTCCAAAGAGGACGGAGCTCGGCTGTTCTCAGTGGTGGCAGATGACAGAACAAGGAGCAATGGTCTCAAGTTGCAGTGGGGGAGGTCTAGGTTGGATATTAGGAAACACTATTTCACTAGGAGGATGGTGAAGCACTGGAATGGGTTACCTAGAGAGGTGGTGGTATCGCCATCCTTAGAGGTTTTTAAGGCCCAGCTTGACAAAGCCCTGGCTGGGATGATTTAGTTGGTGTTGGTCCTGCTTTGAGTAGGGGGGTTGGACTAGGTGACCTCTTCCAACCCTAATCTTCTATGATTCTATGATATAGCATACAATAACCAGCACTCTGAGGGAACATCTAGGAGCAACTGGAGATATTCCTTTCTGGAATATATTATTCCACAATGGTATACGTCACTGTATAGCCCACTCCATTAAAGTCAGTCAGTACAAATTCACTAAGTGATTTGCTGCATGTTAGTTTAACGGGCAACCCACAGGCACAGTTTTGAAGCACAATGCCACACTTTGGTGACCACCCAAGTCTCAGTGGAAATACTGTACTATGTGGGAAAACCACATTAAGACAACAGTAGGCACTCCCCTAGTGCTTTTTTTCCTGCATTCCTCTCTTCTGCCCACGTATCCATTGCTTTGGGTTCCTCACTTTCTGTCACATCCCCTGTTCTTTGCGTTTATGTGCCTCCTTCATTTCTCTCCCTAATATACCATTCTTAGTACTCTTTCCTTCTTTTCTTTCTGCAGGATCTACACAGTCATAGTGTGAGAACTGATGTACATGTCAAGATGGGCTGTTGTATGAACCTCTCTAGGATTTCATGATCACGGTCAGTTTAACTTTGTAGCCAGCTCCAGGTGGTAAAGTCACTAAAGTGTAAGGAGCTTCTGGGGCATCAGTGCATTGCTACTATGTAATTATTGCCAATTATTTCAGTATTTTGCTGTCTGGTAAAGATTGCAAGCAGCCTGATGGCTAGGAAACAGGTTGGCTTTGCAATGCATAATAACTTTATTGGAACACACTGCCCATCGAAAATGTTACCCTCATGTAATGTGAGTATATTACTTCAGAAATAAAAATCTTGCTGCTTGAATTTTTAAGAATTTTCCATTTATTTGAAAGCTGATAGTCATGTCAAAACGTAAACCTAAGGCTATAGGCACTGCTGCCAACTGCCAGACATAATTCCTTAGTTTGAGACCTAAGTCTCCTGCTTCAGAGAGGATCAAGGTTTGTGGAGTCAAGCCCAGAAAAACTGCCCTCACTAAGTGAGGATCCATGAATCAGTTTGGTAGCTTACCACTCAAGAAACCTGGAACTTTCTATCATCTGTTGGCTGTAGGGAACAGAAGGGACAGTCACTAAAGAACTAAAATCTTTGGGCCAGGACTCACTGCTCATCTGATTCTCTGGCCAGCACCGGATTCTGTCAGCTGGCCACTGCATAGGTGAGGTAAGAGCTGGCACCAGCATCAGCACAGAGGAGAAGCTGCCACACATGGCCCTCCATAGCGCAGCACAGCTGCTTGCTTCAGTCCATTCCAGGGGGGTTTCCAACTGTTTCATTCCGTGGAACACTTCATAACAGACACATCCACTTTTGGACCAGCTTCCTAACCCTGACCCCCACAACAGCTTTGTTCTCACAAGGTTTCATTCTGCAGACTGCTAGGGAAGGCTCAGTGCATCCTTAGTCATTTCCAAACTAGGTACACTAGAACAGGGTTCCAAGGAATGCTTGGAAGGCTGTGAAAGCTGCAAGTGTGTGATGGAGAACTTAAAAGTAATGGACTGCCAACGGCATATCCCTTAAACATTCTACATACATTTCTTTGCTCTCTATTTTGCACATTGTGTGCAAACAATTTGTATTAGTATTAATGTGAAATGTTTGCGGTGCACACACACTCCCCCCTCAAAAGGAAAATAGATCCTTTTGTAATTGTTTGGCTGACTCAGGGGTTTATTCTGATTGTGACCTACTTATATACAACTTCTTTCTCGCTGATTTTTCTCAGCAGCATGGAGACTGTTTAGTACACTGTATTCACCTCAAAGAAGACCCAAAATATTGTGCATGTCTGACTGCTGGCCACCAATACATGATATAAGAGAACTCATGGAGATTTCTCACCATACGAGGTGAATAGACAGTGTACACTACATTTTACTTGGCATTTTGCCACTAAGTTGTGCAACCTCCAATAACTAGTAATATATAATAATTGTTTGGAAAATATATCAATTCATATAATGAGGTTATTGCTCCCTAAGTGTTATCTTCTCATGCTTGAAAAGCTTCTCTCCTTCCTCCTCTGCTGCTGATTCTAATGTACACTTTGCAGGATTGAACAAAGGTCACAGTCTGGATTTGCAGATGGTAATATAGTAATCCACCTCAGAACAGAATAATTGTTGGAGAAGAGGAATAAAGACAGCCAGTGATCAGTGGAAATAGAGTCCTGGAAAGGAGCCGTCTATCCAATAAAGATTCCAGTTTGGAACATGACCCTTCCAGGTGATATTCTTAAAAGGACCTCAGATATTAACAGAGAGTGGGATTTCCTTGAAAATCCACAAAAATATGTTAGTGAGTGAGCCTCAAGTGGAACAAGACCTCACTGATTTATGCTGAAAAAAGCAGATTTTTGTTTAATACAGTAGGAACTATGATACTTTTCTACAGAGTTAGTGCACACATTTTCTTCCAGCATTTAAAAATAAAATTGTGAAAGAGAATCATTATAATTTTAACTTTCAAATTCTGTGTACCCTTGTGAACAGTCTCCTCACATACCTGGTAGATTTCCTCAACTGCACACCAAATTTCTCAATAGATACTGTAGATACATTTGAACAAGACTTGTGTAGTGACACATTTTTGCTTAAAGCACATAAAAATGCAAAATACACAGAGTCTAAGTAAGAGTACAAATGGGTGCATATTGGTCTGGTATATCTTAAATTAAATAAAATGGGTGTAAGGTAAAATATAACTAAATACTGAATAGGATTTGTTAACCAACTAGCCAATAGTACAGAACTAAAGGGCAGAAAGTTTAAGAGTATTACAAGGTAGGAATTTAGAGTTAGCTGATGTGCAGCACACTGTTGTTAATGTAACTTTCATTTCATTCGTGCCTTTATTATCACCAATTATCAAAGTTTTTTAAAGATCTTACATGTTTGCCTGGTAGCTTAGTTCTCACAGGAAAAATAAATTCTTGTATGATTAACAGCCAACAGCTTGACTCCACTGATAGATCCAGTGTGTTTTAAATTTCTAAAACTACACAGAACCATTAAGCCTGATTCTAAACTCATACCAATTTTACACTGGTGAAATTCCATGGACTTATGCACCATCCCCTTACAGTATATAGGCAATAGAATTATTCCTGGTTACACCGATGTAAGTGATGACAATAAAGACACCTATAAAAAGGAAAATACAAAATGTGGACTTTTTTTTCCAGGTATGAGTTGCTAGTAAGTCTTCCACACCTCACCAACTGAACAATAATTATTCTGAATAAAGCAAAACCCATGGCAGAAAGAACTGTTACAATTATTTCACTCACATTTTTATATTTTCACACAGAAAATTTGCTAAACGATTCATTCATTTGTGGACAGCACTGTGCACGAATGTGCTCTCTTTCTAACGTGAACTGTGTATCATATTTATTTTTTCTAGGTTTAATGTGGATATATCTTTCTAACAAATGTATAAGTACATGGAGACCCAGAGGACATAAGTTTTATTTGAAAAGCCAGTCAGAAAATATTGTGAAGAAAACCAGCCAAAGTATTGTAGGAACCAATCTACAACTTCAAAGGAGTCCACTAATGAGGGCAGTTCTCCAGCACACTAATGCCAACAGCTTGAATACAAAATGACACGCAATGAAAACGGAGCATGTCGAAAGGAGATTAGCACAGTTTAGATGTTGAATGAGGAGTCCCCATCTTTAGCAGATAAATGAACGTATCGTATATATTGACATGGACAATACAAACACACAGCAAGTAACACGTTCTATAATTTTTCTGATGAAAAATAATGACTTCTCCCCACAAAAAACTTTGGAAAATGTTGAACAGTCACCAGAAACTTTAACAAATAGACCCCAGTAACCAAACACAGTTCTTAATAACTGAAACCTTCAGGCTACCGGCTTTGAAATAGCAAAACCTCTTATTGTGTGTGTCACAGGCTGATGGTAACTTTCAGTAGAAAATAATGCTGATTCAGGGTGTGGAGGCTAAAGTTTAAGCTGATTCAGGGCTCTTGGGTAAGGCCTCACCTCTGGGTCCTGTAATGACAGGTCGATGATGCTGTGTGAATGCCGTTCCAAGGGAGGAGGTCTGCGAAGGCGAGGGACTGCTGAAACCAGACTTCTCTGACTTCTTTAATGTGGTTGGCGATGGCATTCCTGGCAAGAATGATTGATAAGTGCAATTTAATAATGCTAGGTCATGGAACGACAGCCTATGCATTGTGAAAGTGAGTGCAGAAGCAGCTAAATAAACTTAAAGGACAAATAAAATTGAATACAACAAGTGGAAAGCTCACTTTTATTTATGATCTTTTTGGGGCAGGAGTGGCCATGGTTTGCTCTGAGTAATAAGTACTAAAATGCAGCCATATTTTTCTTTTAAATCTGAAGTACAGAGAAGATGCAGCTTTTTTGTTATTATTAATTATTATTTATTATTAAATCCTAACTATGCTTTATTTTTAGAAACCTGCAAGGGTTACAGCACTTGGATTTTAACCTGTTTTTAAATAGTTAACTCTGCTAGCTAACTCACACTATTTTATCAGATTATTGCACATGGATATTTTAAGTGTGCTGCAAGATCAATACACAAGGAGAGAAAGAGGGAATCTCACTCCAAACTCTGAATTTCCTTATCCCTCCACAGCTTAGTTCAGACTAGGTTATTTTAAAAGCATTTATTTGTGTGGTTATCTTTGCTTTATTTTTATTTTTTTTTAAAATGTGTGTGTGTATATATTAAAGTCACAATTATATGGTTTCAGAGCAGTTGTTATACCCATGAAAATATAGCAGAGGCTTCCCATAGAAAACAGAACTGCCACTGGGGTGAAAACTATTTCTACTGACATTATGCTGACCTTCAGACTTGGTGCAGTGTTAATATGACCACTGGATTTATTCCTCCATGTGAGCTATTTTTGTTGATATCATATCAACTCTGTGGGTCATTCAGCTCTGATGCAATATCAAAAATGTTAGTAGAATGCACGTTTTGCAATGGATTCACTAAAATCTGGGATGGTTAGTATGCTGTCTATGCTAGGTGGATATGCAGTATGATATATGTGTGTGTATATATGTATATAGTATGTGTGTGTAGGGGTCAATATCTATATTACTACAGACATAGACACAGACACATTCAGATTGTCAACACTGTATTTATAGTATGTTTTCTGTATATCTATCTATTGACAGATATGCAGAAAAATTAATGTCAAGTTCTTTGGGCTACAGTTGAAATAGCACAAAAGAAAAATGATTGTTCTTAATAATGGTAGCTGTATAGTCCCCAAGACATTAATTTACAACACAAGGCAGTGTGCTTGTGCATTGTACACTGAAGGACTAGAGTAGGTGAAGTCCCAGTTTGAAGCAACTAGCGTTTGTTCAGAGACTGTTTTCTATCAAGAGTTTCCCTGGTGGTGGCTGTTTCTTCACAACAGGGAAAAGTTAACAACTTAATTTTATTTTAAAATACAAGTTTAGAATAGATGGACTGTGGCATATCTATGGGATCAACTATTTTCTCATGACTTGCTGTAATTATGATAAAGTCTTTTTGATGGGGGAGGGACATGTGAAGGTGGGTTGAATTGTGATGCATTTGAATGAAGTATTAACAATTTTTCAGATGCAAAATGTCCCAAAGTAGCCTGCTAATTCACTGATCAAATGGCAAGGAGAATGAATATACATTGTGATGTCACAAAAAGGATGGAGCTTAATTAGGATTGCTAAAAATTTTGGCAGGTGCCATCTGGGCATGTTCAGAAGTGATGTTTCAATCACTTATAACTTTATTTGTAAATGTTTCCCTCCACAGTAAGCAAAGACTATTCCTCAATAAAAGCAATGGCTATGTCATAGTCCAAATGACAATTTCAAGTATTTTTCTATATCTCTGTATGTGTCCATCCATGTGTATCACATGTACACACAGTATAAACATGTGTGCATACTCAGTATACTGTGGGCCAGACTATCCTTGAATTTGCACAGATGTGCAAGAGAGGAGGGGGCATGTAATGAGCCATTCTCTCCAAAGTGGCTAGGGACAATCACAGTACTTATCCTAACGGGAGCACAGGAACTGCTCCCTTTGGGAAACTATGAAATCCAATCTGGGATTCCCTAAAGGGGACAGGACTATGACATCTCCTCTGCACTTGTCCACGGAGCTGGCTGGGTGCACCGGGGGAGCAGGCTGCATTACCTCACTGGAGGATGCAGCTCATGTACTTCCCTTGTGTGCTGCAGAGCTGAAGGGAGGTACTGAATACAGAGAAAGGGCTGAAATTCATCCTTAATTCACAGTACAGTATTGCTGTTTAATTAAAAAACATAGGGGAAACAAGCCCTATTCATGCTCAGAAATGAAAATTTCAAGGTAAGATAAGTTTAATTATTAAATGTTTATGTCCACTTTAAGAGCGCATCCTGTGTCTGCCTGCATGAGTGTACAAGGCCCCAGATGCAGTGGAAATGCTAGGTTTCTTCTGTGTAGTGAGGGCCAGGAACTGCAGAGGGCCTCAGTGGCAGATCTCTGCACTGGAATTCAGAGGAGGGAATGAGTGTGTTAGGGTTGTGGCAAGAACATGATCAGTGGGACTGTACTCAGAGCAGTTCTACTGGACCATAAACCCACGTACAGGTAGGAGCAGTGTTCCTCGTATCTTCCACTTTTCGCCATGTCCTCTAGCAATGTGGTTATGAGGAAGACACTAAAACATTTTAGATAGCCCAAAAACTTTCTTCTGCTCTAGTGCTGTGAAACCGCTTAATTGATTTAAGCCAACTTTTGTTTAAAACAAAAATCTCTTCTGGGCTGAGAACATATGCACCAACCCAAAGCAAATTCATATGACTGAGTTATAAACACCTAATGCTGAGGATTTAGAATGAAAAGGCCAAATGATCTTGAGCTATGGCAGAGCTGAGTGGTGTCATTATCATATGGGAAAGGTTTTTATAAGACCAAAACAGCTGTAATGTACAAACAGAGCATCTACTATAAATTTAGTTATGAAATAACCAATGGATAGAAAAACAAATGTTGATGCTGGAATCATAATCATAATAATAATCATTTTAACCTATCATTGTTAAATGGTTTGGTTTTGAAACAACAGACACTATTGAATTTTTGATCTTGTTTTACTTTTGATGCTAAATTATTAGTTTATTATAAGGAATTGTATCCACCAGATCTCAAGGAAAAAACAGCTGCTTCACAGTTCATCGGAATATGTAAACAAGAATTTAATTATTTAACTTAAACTTGACTAAGAACAGAGCAGGGGATGAGCTGCCACCTCACTTCTGAGCATATTTTGTCCTTTAAGATGGAAGGGGTATGGCAGTAAGTTAGACAGTGCAAAGCAATTAGCATCATTCACATTTTATGGTGAGCTAGCATGGTGCTTTAGCAGCAAAATTCAAACATTCTATGAATGGGTTAATAAAAGAAGAAATACAGTCTGCATGCGAGAAAAAGGTTTCCAAGAACAAGCCAAAATATGTCCCATTCTTCTAAATTCATCACAGCCATGTGACATCATCCCTGAGACTGCCAGAAATGACTTTTTTTTTTTTTTTGGCAATTAAAAAAAAACCCCTCTCACTTAGCACCATATGTTTGGTTGATGTGCCTGATATATCCTGCATATTCTTTAGTCCATCCATTTCATATATTCATATTTTATTCTTTCACTAAGATCATATTTTTCAGTCCTGGTCAATCCTACTTTAGCTTCTTTCAGGAAAGCAAAAGCACATGGGACAGAAGTTTAATCATCCAGAAAAAAATGGCCCAGGTACTGCAACTCTTACTCAATCTCACTGACTTCAACTGGTGGTGTGGGTTCTCCACACCTCTAAAAATCAGGCCACTTATTTAATAGTACTTCCCTACCTCACAGGGATGCTGTGGAGATAATCAGATTAAAGACTGAAGTGTTCAGGTACTGTGGTAATAGATGCTATCGTTCAGCCTAAGATAGATAGATGACTAAATATGGATTCAGATGCCCAACTTATGGCACTCATGTTTGAGAACCATGGTCTGTTTTAAATTTCTTCCACTATATTCCTGATAGCATGGTGGTTTCAGCACACTAAAGACTAGACTTCCACATCAGGCACAGCTCTGAATTAAAGGGTCGTGCATAAGTCGTACTGGACCAGGCGGTATTGTGGAGTGCCAATGAGTTCCTCTTCCCTGTATGCTCGAGGGCAGCAGCAAATTACAATGTCCCCAAACCAGCTCATCTGTAAAGGCTGGCCAGTGAATAGGGAGGAGAGCCAAGTCTCCACCCATTCCTTGCCCCTTCCTACCCACATGCTGTGAGGAAGACGTAAACAAGCACTGCCTGAATGCAGGTCTGGGTGGCCCACGTGGGGTCTAAGGGTGGTTCTTACTCCCCCAGTAGCCATGCAGTCCAAATCACTGACGAGCCCTACATTTCTTGTTCAGAGTCACAGATTTCATAAAGACTGGGTCTGATTCTCCCTGACTGTTATGAGTGTAACTGAGAAGAGAAACAGGCCTACAGCACTTTCTTTCTTTCTTTCTTTCTTGGACAATTTTAACTGCAGAATAAATGGAAAAGCTAACTGATAAATAAAAAAGGAAAATTGAGGGATTTTGTACTATAAACCACAGGTGGAAATCTAAGTGGATACCTTAACTTATTGTACTGTTATTCTTGCGATTATATATACAAAAAGCCAAACATATGGGGCCTTAGCCTGCTCCCCTTTATTAAAGGTTTTGTCACTCTCTTCAATGGGAGCAAGAGCAAGCCCATAATGGTGCTAAATAGAACAAGATGTGGTTTTTTGAAAGCAAATATTAATTTTTCACTGGTTTTTCAGTTAAAAAGAGGTTTAAGAACAGTACACATATAAACAGAAAATTCAGACAACAGAAATCTTGAAACTGTCCCCAGCAATATTTTCTCCAAAGAATTTGTTTTCGTTTTCAAAATTAAAGCGTTCTGAATTTTCATTGATTTGGCAATACCTAAACACAAAGCTATTTTGTTCATTCCAGATCATGCATCACATCCTTCTGCTCAATGCACAAACGCAAGCATAAATGGAATTCTGGTCCTTCAGTGCTTCTGGTTACTGGAGCCACTGAACTGATG